CATGCTGCTCTGCAACGTGGCTCCAGCAAAAAGTGCCGACACTGCAACAAGTCCATGCGCTTTGTTCGCTACTTGCATCGCCGTCTTGTCTACTATGTGACCATTGCTGATATGAAGGAACGGTGAGTTTGCGCCTGTAGTTACCAATTGGTAGACATTTATAAATTCAATTCTTTTCATATCACAGAATAGGCGATGTGCCCGAAAGCAGTGGCCAGAACAAGGTTATATTTGCCGATGAGTGCCGGCGCTATCTGCGAAAGATCTATGAAAACTATCCGGAATTTCTTAAGCTGCTCGTGCCGGTGCTAAACCTGAACAGCAGCGAGTCAAGCCCCAGCGAAGATTACTCGCCCGTTGATATATTTTTCATGGATACGATACCAGTTACACCGCCGCGTGCCCGCCCAATGAACGTTATTAACGACATGATGAAGGGGAATCCGCAGACAGACATCTATGTAAACATAATTGAGAACAATCATGTCCTCAATGTGATACTCAAATTTATGAAGGGGCAGCAGGACAAATTGAATGACGCAGCTAGAGCAGCCTATCAAAACATGCGCGGCGCTAGCGGACATGAGAAGCTCTATAATGCATGGCTGTCGTTGCAGAGCTCGGTGGATGTGTTGCTCGACGTCAACATGTCGCGCGACATCAAGTCCGCCGAGGGCCTTAAACAAGTGCTGGAAAAGAAGGAGGGTCTCATACGTAAGCATATGATGGGCAAGCGTGTCAATTACGCCGCGCGTACCGTCATCACACCCGACCCCAATATCGATGTGGATGAGATCGGTATACCGGACATATTTGCGCGCAAGCTCTCCTATCCGGTGCCGGTCACCGAATGGAATGTCATTGAGTTGCGAAAAATGGTGATGAATGGACCAGATGTGCATCCGGGCGCCAACTACATACAAGACAGCAAAGGCTTGACCACCTACATACCCGCCGACAATGCGGCCAAGCGCGCCAGTATGGCTAAACTGTTGCTGTCCAATCCGAAGGATGGCGTTAAAATTGTCCATCGCCATGTTCTAAATGGAGACGTGCTGCTGCTCAATCGTCAGCCTTCGCTGCACAAGCCCTCAATTATGGCGCACAAGGCCCGCATATTGCATGGCGAAAAGACCTTTCGCCTTCACTACTCCAACTGCAAGGCCTACAATGCTGATTTCGATGGTGACGAGATGAATGCGCACTATCCCCAAAGCGAAGTAGCACGCGCCGAAGCCTACAACCTTGTGAACGTGGCCAGCAACTACCTGGTACCCAAGGACGGCACTCCACTGGGAGGCCTTATTCAGGATCAGGTCATTTCGGGCGTGAAACTGTCCATACGCGGTCGCTTCTTCAATCGCGAAGATTATCAGCAGTTGGTATTCCAGGGCCTGTCGCATCTCAAGGGCAATGTCAAGTTACTGCCACCGGCTATACTGAAGCCCGCAATATTGTGGTCTGGAAAGCAAGTACTTTCAACTATAATAATTAATTTGATACCGGATGGATATGAGCGCATCAACTTGGATTCCTTTGCCAAAATCGGCGGCAAGGTAAGTAATGGGAGCTCAGCGTATCTTGTAACCTATTTACAAATCCACTTTCTTCTTGCAGAACTGGAATGTGGCCAGGTCGCGTAAGCCTCTGTGTGGCTCAACTCCCCAGGAGCAAGAGTTGAGTGAGAGCCAGGTGCAAATACGTAACGGCGAGCTTCTTGTGGGCGTGCTCGACAAGCAGCAGTACGGCGCAACCACCTTTGGTCTGATCCACTGCATGTACGAGCTGTATGGCGGTGATGTGTCCACGCGTCTGCTCACCGCCTTCACAAAGGTATTCACCTTCTTTCTGCAGCTCGAGGGTTTCACGTTGGGCGTCAAAGATATATTGGTAACCGAAGAGGCAGACCGCAAGCGCCGCAAGATCATTCACGAGTGCCGCGATGTGGGCAATAGCGCTGTTGCTGCTGCTCTGGAGTTGGACGATGTGCCGCCACACGATGAGCTGGCCGAACAAATGGAGGCTGCCTATGTTAAGGATGCAAAGTTCCGAGTTCTGCTCGATCGCAAATACAAATCTATGTTAGATGGCTACACAAATGACATTAACAAGTGAGTGGGCAATCGACTATGTAAAGACTAAGATATCATATTTTTTTTATTTATTCTTTAGAACTTGTCTGCCTGGTGGGCTCATCAGCAAGTTTCCATCAAACAATCTGCAACTGATGGTTCTATCGGGCGCGAAAGGATCCATGGTTAACACCATGCAAATCTCTTGCCTGCTAGGTCAAATTGAGCTGGAAGGTAAACGACCTCCGTTGATGATATCTGGCAAATCTCTGCCCAGTTTTACGTCATTTGAGACATCCCCGAAATCGGGCGGCTTTATTGATGGTCGCTTCATGACAGGAATACAGCCGCAGGACTTTTTCTTTCACTGCATGGCTGGTCGTGAAGTAAGTTTATACATTATAATTTTGATATGAGAGCTTTCTTAATAACGCATCATTCTGTTTCAAAACAGGGTCTCATCGATACAGCTGTGAAAACATCCCGTTCCGGTTATCTGCAGCGCTGTTTAATCAAGCACTTGGAGGGGTTGAGCGTACATTATGATCTGACTGTGCGCGATAGTGACAATAGTGTGGTGCAGTTTCTTTACGGCGAGGATGGTCTGGACATACTAAAGGCCAAGTTCTTTAACGGAAAGTTCTGCGCTGACTTCCTTACACAAAACGCTAAGGCCGTTTTGCGGCCCAGCCAGCTGCAGCTGATGAAGGATGAAGAGTGCCTCGCCAAAGTGAAGCGCCACGAGAAGCACATAAAGAGCTGGCAGAAGAAGAAGCCAGCCAAATTGTATGCGGCATTCACACACTTTTCGAAGGAGCTTCGTAACGATGTGGAAGTTGACCGACCCAATGAGATAAATGCCAAGACGGGACGCAGGCGGTTTGATGAGGGGCTGCTCAAGCTGTGGAAGAAGGCAGATGCTGAAGACAAGGCATTGTATCGCAAGAAGTATGCACGCTGTCCCGATCCTACCGTTGCCGTATACAAACAAGACAATTACTATGGTTCAGTTTCGGAGCGCACACGTCAATTAATCGAGGACTATGCAGCCAAGCATCCAGCACAGAAGCATATCATTTCTGACATTATGCACATGAAGAGCATTAAGGCGCTAGCGTCGCCTGGCGAACCAGTGGGTCTGATTGCAGCTCAGTCGATTGGCGAGCCGTCCACCCAGATGACATTGAATACTTTCCATTTTGCTGGCCGTGGTGAAATGAACGTCACTCTGGGTATACCGCGCCTTCGCGAAATTCTCATGTTGGCGTCTTCAAATATCAAGACCCCTTCAATGGATATACCAATCAAACCGGGACAGCAACTAAATGCGGAGAAGCTGCGCATTTCGCTCAACTGTGTGACTCTAGCCAGTCTGCTGGAATGTAAGTATTTAAAGAATTGAAAACTGGAATTCCCCATAAAAATATGCTGTTCTATCACCATATAGCCGTGCACGTTAACACAAGCCTGACCCTGGAACCCGAACGAGCATATGTCTACGACTTGCACTTTAAATTCCTCCCTCGCGAGATGTACAAGGAGGATTTCTGCGTGAGGCCTAAGCGTATTATCAAATACATGCATCAGACGTTCTTCAAGCAGCTTATTCGTGCCATTCTAAAGGTGTCCAATGCCAAGAAGACTTCAAAAATGTAAGCCAGTATTTGATTTTCTGCGAACTCAACAACTAACCTTAATAATTCCACAGCGTCGTGGTAGATGAGAAAAAGGAGGGTGGCAACAGACAGGACGAAGACAATGATCAAGAATTGGATGTTGCTGATGATGTTGGTCCACAAAAAGTAGCAGACAATGATGACGACTCCTCAGATGATGGCGTGAGTAAAGAAATTTATAATAGATGCAAATATAATTTAATACTGTAAACAATTTATCTGCGATAGGGTGACGATGATGCAACTGGCATTAAGCTTAAGCAGCGTAAGACCGACGAAAATGACTATGACGATCCGGATGATGTTGAAGAAATTATAGATGCCAATGGTAAATATAAGGCATTCATTTTAAAATATCTTAACTTATATATTTCTTATATTTATTTTGTAGATGACGAAGACGAGCACGATGAAGAGGATGCAGACGGAAATGAACAGGCAAACGAAGAAAATAATGAAGTGGATGACAAGTCGGTGGAAAAGCTACTGAGCAACCAAATGGTGCAGGATTACACCTACGACAAAGATCAGCATCTTTGGTGCCGAGTGAAGCTTAATCTCAGCGTGCGTTACCAGAAGCCTGATCTGACATCTATTATACGCGAATTGGCCGCTAAGAGTATTGTACATCAAGTGCCGCATATAAAGCGCGCTATAATCTACAAGGGCAATGACGATGAGCAACTGTTGAAAACAGATGGAATCAACATTGGTGAAATGTTCCAGCACAACAAAATCCTGGATCTGAATCGTTTGTACTCTAACGATATTCATGCTATAGCACGTACATATGGCATAGAAGCTGCGACCCAGGTCATTGTCAAGGAAGTCAGCAATGTGTTCAAAGTTTACGGAATTACCGTGGATCGCAGGCATTTGTCACTGATTGCCGACTACATGACCTTTGATGGCACTTTCCAGCCGCTCTCACGCAAAGGCATGGAACACTCTTCTTCGCCGCTACAGCAAATGTCCTTCGAATCGAGCTTGCAGTTTCTGCGCAGCGCAGCTGGCTTTGGTCGCCCTGACGAGCTAAATTCACCATCAAGTCGTCTAATGGTGGGCTTACCTGTGCGAAACGGCACTGGTGCTTTTGAATTGTTAACCAGAATATGCTAATTGTAAATTAACATTTGTTTCAATAAATACTGGTTCCATTTTTAAGCCAATAATCGATACCTTTAGCCGAAAGATTTTTTTAATCGATAGATTTGTGAACAGCTGACTTGATATGCAATATTGACATCTCTGTCAGCTAGCAAAACAACTTGTTTTTGAGTCTATAGAATTTTAGCAAAATCGAAATCCTAGTACAAGATGTTGAGTTCAATGGTTAAAGAGCACCATTCTAAGCAATCGAAGCGCAAGCAGGAGCAAGAAGTGCGTCGCAAAGAAGCCATTGAAGCTTCCAACGAACTGACCCAGGCATTAGTGGACCATCTAAATGTTGGGTACGCATGCTTTGCAGAAAATTACTTATATTATGCTCATATTGCACTTATTATAAAATAGAGTGGCGCAAGCATACTTAAATCAAAAGCGTTTAGATGTGGAAGCCAAACAGTTGCATGTGGGTGCTACCAACTTTGCCAAACAGACGCATCAATGGCTGCAATTAATTGACAACTTTAGTAGCGCTCTGAAGGAACTCGGTGATGTAGAGAATTGGGCGCGAAGCATTGAAGGAGATATGCAAGTTATACAGCAAACTTTGGAACTAGCATACAAAACGTCTCGAGCAACGCAGGCCACAACAGGTACTGCAACGACGTCAGCGACATCTTCTGCAGGTGCAGCAGCAGCGAATCCATGAGTTACGTTTTCGTAGATGACAAATATGAGCCGCCATATAAAGGCATACGTGAACTGATTTATGTTTATTATTGTTTAATTTATTGTATAATTACCATAAAACAGTGTATGAAAATGACGTGTGATTGCCAACAAATGCATTTAAATACATATTGCACACGTACAGCACATTTAACATGTAATTTAGTTTACATTAAAAAGTATTTTGTTAGTTTGATTAGTTTATTGTTATCAATTTACGCAGTTGCTTTTAAAATACATATCACAATGTGTTTTACGCGTGTTAAGTTTTGAGGATGGAACGCGTAATATGTGGTGACAACGTTCTACAAAACGTACCCAACGATATTGACAAACTATCAACTAATTGTGATTAGGCGGGATGGAAACTATATAATAATAATTATACAGGTCATGCTGCCAAACGATTTTTGGGAGAAGTGTAGGGATTCAATAACAAAATATTCAGTCTATATCCTCGTGCTGGGCCTTTGAATTTGCTGTACTTGTGAACTAGTCATCCATTCACACAAGCACACAATCATTGGCACATTAGTAACGCGATTGGACGCGAGAAGCTGCAAGGATATTCGGTAATTTTTGTAAACTATAAAAATCATCTGCCAACTTACGCTTGCGTGGAGAGCGCGAACGAGAGTAACTGCGAGTGCGACTGTGGCTACGTTCGTAGCGATGACGGCTGCGATATTTGCGACGATTTGATGGCGATACTGACGATGACTCTTCGCGGTGGCGACGACGAGGACGATAGCTATCTCGATTGCCAAAGTCACGGTCACGAGAGCGTCTCCCCAGTGGGCTACAACATGAAAAGCTCATGTAATGACAATTAAACCTTGAAATATGCATATACAAACCGTGATGGACGTCCCATGTACACACCAGGAGTGGGTGTGTGTGGACGTTGAGTTATCGAATAGTCGACGCGTATGCGGCGGCCATCCACATCCATTCCTGTACAGGCATCCTTAGCAACACGTGCGTCACTGAGATTCTCAAAGTATATGAAGCAAAAACCACGAGAACGATGAGTCTGTAATAGTTGTAATGTAAGCAAGCAAAGGTAAATATTTAGTCTTTTTTATATAGAACAAAATATAAACTGCGTTATATTAGTCTTCAAATTTTATTTCAATTAGTCGGAGTGTCCAGTATTAGCTGATTTTTAAACTTATGAACGTATTGTATCAATAAGTAATACAAAGATCCATAATGATTAAAACTAAAATATGGATGTTACAACAAGCCTTTAGTGAATTGCTAGTAGCTCACATAACAAACACTCATTATTGTTGTACTTATATATGATATAGCCAAGAAAGATGACACTTGGAAGAGGCTAAGTTCCAAGTTGCCCACAGACAGATTATGGCATTTTGATAAATAAGTTGAAACTTTAAAATTTAACATACTTGAGCATCGATAACCATCTGAATACGTTGAATGGGTCCAAATTTATTAAACAATTCGCGCACCTTCTGCTCTGTGGTGTTGGTATTTAGGCCAAAGACTCCAATGCAGCGGCTAGCCTGTGGATGATCCTGCGACAGGATGTTGTCATGAATGCTTAGCAGTAGAAACTCAATTTAAATTGGTGCTACTTACGCGTGCCTGACGCATGCGCTGACGATCGCGAGACGTCCGGCCTGAATAATGACGCAACGGCGAATCTGACCCAGAGCGCGAGCGCCGACGATGTTGAGAATTTGATTTAGAATTGTAGTTGTGATGACGACTCCCATAGGCTTCACCGTCCGACCTTGAATGGGAATAGGTTAGATTTTCAGTTGGTTTTGCTGGCAGTGCATCTTGATTGTAAAAATGTGTGATTCGGATTTTGACACTTGAGTAATTGAGAATTGAGCTGCTGTAAGATTTGTATACGATTCACCACATTGCGTTTTAGAAACAAACTTGCTTGCTCTTCTATCAGCATTGATAATATGCTGTTCTGAAATATAAACAGTTTATTTCATGTTTTTCTTACATTTTGAAGTAAATTATTATTTTTTTTTTTTTTGGCAAAAACTGAGGAAAGAACCTTCTCGCTTGAAAAGCTAAACCAAATGAAAGATTCCTGTTGACAGTTTAATATGTAGCCAAAATATTTCGCCTACTGAGATGGCGCCTGTCAATCTTTACTCGATACTCAATTTCTCATTCGATACTCACCGAAGGTGACGGGAACGAGAACTGTCCGAGGACGCCGACGAAGAAGAGTATGAATTGTCAGAACTGAAAGACAATTGTAATGTTTGACTGTTTGCAGTATTGCACAGATGTTGCTTAACACGCATACCTGTAACCGCATTTGTGTTTATCAATTCGATGTAAATGTAAACATTCCTTTGCCGTCACGTTAACGAGCCCTGTGGACTATAGTTCGTACAATCATGTACCGCGTGTTGGAATGTTTTTAGTTAGATCCTTAAAGTGGCAGATTTGCATCTATGCTTACCATGTTATTAGGTGTGAAAATATTAAAATTAACCAATACGTTTTATTATTATGCTTTATCCGCTTCAAATTCAATGTCAACTAACAAGGCACGCAGAACGTATGCAGGGCTGAAATATTTTCGATATCGATAATGAAAAAATTAATAGAAATAATGTTTTAAACAGTTTTTGGTATTTTTTCTTGCATTTTTATTGTCTCAAAATGCGACCAAACATTCAATATTCAAAATCATATTTAAAATTGTAGACAATAAATGTCTTCTATTTTATAAATATTCATGTTATGGAAATATTATTATTTGTAAGCTTTCATAAAATACATTGACAATAAAGCTTTTTTATACGACTACGTAAACAGAGTAACTAATCAGTGGGAAAATTTGTTACTTTTATTGTACATTATACATGTATGAATCACAGAATTTGTAAATAATATATTATACACTTAATTATTATTGGTATTTTATAAACGACTCGTGAGTCATGCAAATGTAATTATAGAGCATTTTCCTCTCATCATTGTACAATTCAGTTATCATTTTAAGCATACGATCGTCGTTGTATGGACTCTTAGGCGGAGCCTCCAAAATATTGCCTTTTACATACCATTTCTTATCTTGAAAATGTCTCTTTACTCTGTCACGTAATCCTACGCCACTGAATGTTGGTTTCCGAAATATTTCACACATATTCTTTTTGCCGTATTTATGGAAAATACGATTAAGGGTTTCATCGACTTCTGGTTGCTTAGCATAATAGATGTACCACAATTTGCGGTCAGGTGAACGCAGGTCAGTTAGATTTAGTACTCCAAAATACTCAATATTTGAGGGATCACATTTGGATGTCTCTTCAGTTTGCTTAACGTAGAACATGCGGTGCAAGTATTTCTCAAACTCATCATCAAAATTAACAACTGAAAAATAAAAAATTCTATTTGTATTCTATTAGAGTCTATTTTTTTTTTCTATTTACAATTTGACGCCATTATTTACGTATGCAGGGAAACTAAACTATGTTTCTCGTTCGATACACAAGTTGTACTCATTTGATTTTTATCTTGCTGGAGCTTAAATAGCTAATGTCGTCATTGCAATTTATGTGAAATATTTGGAAAGCTTCCACTTGAATGTTTATTTCATAAGTTTGTTGGCCCAAAGCTGCTACTAAATCGATATCGATACTCAGCCCATGGAAGCGGTGCCAGAGTGCGCTAGAAACTTTAGCTTATTTTGAGCTTAAAGCTGAATGTGATTTCGTAAAACTTGTAAACAATACAATACAAAATTTGTAATTTCTTCGATTAATAACGATAGAATTGAATATATTTATTTGATTAGTACTTACAGATTCTTGGTTTTTAACTATTACAACAACAGTAACGCAAAAAAATTAGCATTTTAGACTTTTTCCAAGACGTATCAATTTATTAGAAGTGTGGAACAGCTGATAAGATTTCTGTAGCCGGTTTATAGCTTTATCAATCAATTTCTGAAGTGAAGATTTGACAAATATAGAAGCTATTACTTTTATTTACTTAACACTTAATATTCTTAAATATAAGATCAATAATAAACGATAATTTGTTATTTTCATTGTAAACATATGAATCACAGGTTTTTTAAATAGTAAGGTACCAATAATCTATCCCATTAATCGAAATACTTCCGCATTCCATTATGTTTCATACACAAAAAGTTATAAAGCATTTTTCGTTCTTCATGGTGCAGTTCTGTTATTACTTTGATCATTTGATCGCTGTTGAAGGAGCATTTCGCAGGAGCCTCTAGTAAATTGCCTTTCACATGCCACTTTCTATCTTGAAAATAAGATTTTACTCTGGCACGCAAGGCAACTCCACTAAACGTTTGCTTCCGAAATATTTCACACATATTCTTTTTTCCGTATTTATGGAAAATACGATTAAGGGTTTCATCGACTTCTGGTTGCTTGGAATAATAGATGTACCACAACTTCCGCTCCGGTGATCGGATGTCAGTTAGACTTAGGACTCCAAAATATTCAACAACTGATTCATCACATTTGGATTTCACATCACATGGTTTGATATGGAACATCTGATGCAAATATTTCTCAAACTCTTCATCAAAATCAATATCTGAAAAGAAAATCATGCCTTGATTGAGTCGGCTTATTTTTGTTGACTTTTTTTTAAATTACCATTTGACGCCATTATTTGTTAAACGTCGTTTCTCGCTTGATATGTAAATAGAGTGTAGTTATTCGACGTGTAGCTGGCTTATGCCCAAGTAGTTAATGTCGTCATTGTAATTTATATGAAAAACTTAAAAGCTTCGACAATAATGTGATTTTCATAAATTTTGTTGGTCAAAAGCTGTCAGTGATCAAGTATCGATACTCAGCTCGTTTAGGTGCTGCCAGACTGCGTAAGAAAATTGTTTATATTGAAAATATTGGCAAAAGGAATTTCGTAAAGCTATTAAACAAAATCAGTAAAAAAAAAGTAACAACAATTTCCATGTAACCCTACAAAATATGAGTGATATTTTAAAATTAAAATTATAATCACAAATTGTTAAGTTTAACCATCACAAATAATTAATTTCCTTCTTTTATTATAAAAAAAAACTTAATAACAGGAAATATAATTTGTTACTTTAAATGTAACTATAAAAAATCACAGATTTATAAAAAAAATTCCAAATTGGAATCCCATTAATAAAAGTAAGTCATGACTCCGTTATGTTTCATACACAAAAAGCTATAAAGCATTCTCCGTTCCTCATGGTGGAGTTCTGTCATTATTTTAATCATTTGATCGTTGTTGTAGGAGCTTTTCGCTGGAGCCTCTAGTAAATTGCCTTTCACATGCCACTTCTTATCATCAAAGTAGGCTTTTACTCTGGCACGCAATGCAACGCCGCTAAATGTGTGTTTCCGAAAAATTTCACACATATTTTTTTTGCCGTACTTGTGGAAAATACGTTTTAGAGTTTCATCGACTTCTGGTTGCTTAGCATAATAGATGTACCACAATTTTCGCTCAGGAGATCGGAGGTCAGTTAAACGTAGAACTCCAAAATACTCTAGTACTGACGGATCACATTTAGTATCTTTACTTGGGGTGATGTAGAATACTTTATGCCAATATTCCTCAAATTCGTCATCGAATGTTTTACTGACTGAAACAAAAAAATACAATACTTAGATTGTATTGGATGACTGCATTTACTTCTTTACCTTCAGACGCCATTATTTTTGAGAGAGAAAGAAATTATGACTTATATCCGATCCGTCTATGATACTACTTTGAATGATATTATACTTCTTTGAAGAAATTTATATAAAATACGCAGAAAGCTTTAACTTATATTTCACAATTATACGCTCTCGAAAATTACTCAGCTGTGGTGCTGCCAGACTTCGTATGTATCGATGCCAAAACAAAAGTTGCCAGACTTCGATAGATTGGCTGCTCGCAGGAAAACAGCTGTTTTTGCTGCAACTTGGTCAATTTGTTATTTAACCAGCAGATTTTAATAGAAGAAATGCAAAACTGTATTAAACTTTTGTCGCTCTCAGTAAAGTGCAATGCACGAGCTATCAGTACTACTGCGCCTGTGGCTGGCAAACGCAATTTCCGCAAATTCAATGTGTATAGCAAGCGTGGAACACGTGTGGTAAAAGAAGCGCAACGGACCATGGCCAATCCACCGGTTCCAATACAGAAACGAGGAGTTCGAGATACAGGCATCACTATAAATGGTCAATATGTGGAAATACCTGAGAAAATACCCGAAATCATTGTGCCCGATCTAACTGGCTGTAAGCTGAAGCCTTATGTGTCGTACAAAGCACCCGAAGTAGTTCAATCTGAATTCACCAGCTTGGATCTCTTCAATGCTGTCTATTCGGAAAAGATCATGGCTGATTACAAAGCTGGCAAGCTGGAAGCCGATGGTAGTTCAAAGGAACCCTCAGAAAATGAACAACTAACACCAGAGGTAGCTCTGATGCGAGCCCGTAAAACTGGCAGTGATATTTTTTAAGACATTTGTAAGCTTTTATTGTTTATTAATTGTTAAATTAACATACGTTATTATTGCTCCATATACTTTTGACGATAATTGTAAAGTTTGCGGAGCCACTTCTCTGCCTTTAGTTCTGTATCGCCCAAAAACTGAAAACACACTTGTAAAGTATAAGAAATGCAAAGAAATCTAAAATAAAACTCACATTGGGATGAAATATGTCGTCTTCTTTTGCGGTCACAGAGTCACTTGGTTTGGGTACGATTATAGTTTCCTTATTTAAGTCAATAATTACTTTCTCCTTTTCCTGTGCCTCTCGGTCGCGTGCACTAAAGAAGGCACTTGGCTTGAATGTGTCCTCGTCGATGGTTTCCAGAGCCTTTTGCACTTTGGCATCCAATAAGTCAATGCCTTTGACAGTTGTTGTCGAGGTAGTGGCCGGGCGTATAGAATTTTCTGAGCTGGGTGCTCGGGTTTTGCGTTGTGATACGGATCTAGATTTCGATTTTCGAGTATCGTTGTCCCTACCCTTACTATGTCGGCTACGAGAACTGCTGCGGGAACTGTGAGGTGTCGTGCTACGCGATGAGCTGCGGCTGCTGCTGCGACTCCGTCTGTAATACTTCTTAGATTTCTTGGACTTTTTCTTCTTTGATTTGGATCTATTTCTATTGCTGCGAGAAGGAGATTTGGATTTGGAGCGGTACCGTTCTCTATCTCTTTCGCGGTTCCTGTCCCGCTCGCGTTCTCGTTCTCGTTCGCGATCTCTATCCCGATCTCGGTCACGTTCACGATCTCTTTCCCGTTCTCGTTCACGCTCTCGTCTTTCCCGCATTTTATATTTACTTTTTTACTTTTGAATGCGGCTTGTTTGTTGTGTTATTAAACAATTCTAACCAAAACTGTTAGATAACAGCGACACAGGGTGTGTTATTCAAATATTTTTAACAGTATGAAACGATGCAAATGTTAAATTTATCTATAGTTGTAGAAACGACACCTAGCTATATTAAATGACCAAATTGTGGTTAAAGTTGAGCAGAAAAATTTCAATAGCTATAATTAAAATGCCAAGAGTTAATATTGTTGTAATATAGAAAAGGTATCATTTACGATGGAGGGGGTTTTAAATAAGTAGTCAAAAGAGAAATTTTTCAAAGAATATTGGCGGGAATTCTTTGAATTAAAATATAATTAAACTGCTACAATAAATAAAATCCTGACGCATATTATTTTATCAACAACGACATACGATTTCTATTTATACCAATCATGTTGAATTTGTTTTTCCACCAAATCTACTAATTCTGAATGCTATAAATCAGGAAGCCTACATATGTCGCCTGGTTATCTATTAATATTCGTTAATAATATATGATTGAAGCTTTAGCATTTTGTATTGGCTGATTAAACTAACCAGGAGGTATATAAGGGATAGTTGAACTTCACATGTGCACAATATAATTGCAGCGGTCAGTAGTATCATTTAATTGTGTTTAAAATGTGGCTGCTACGATTTTTGGCAGCTCAACTCTTTCTAGCTTTCATCGTCACAGCTTTGCCCTCCAATGCCGGCCGCAGCAGTTCAACAACAACGGTAAATTAAAATTAACGTAACAAAATTAAAACTCATCGTTAACTAACAAATTATCATCTATAAGGTGTCTATTGTAAAAAAATATGGCTATCCTATTGAGGAGCATCAAGTGCAAACATCTGATGGATATCTTCTAACAATGCATCGCATACCCTACTCCAAGAACACTGGTGATAATGGTCATCGTCCAGTTATGTTCCTGATGCACGGTTTGCTCTGCTCCTCGTCTGACTGGGTTCTAAGCGGTCCCACTAATGGCCTGGCCTTCATTCTATCGGATGCCGGCTACGATGTCTGGATGGGCAATGCTCGCGGCAACACCTACTCGAGGAAGCATGCCGATAAGTCTCCACTGTTTCAGCCTTTCTGGAATTTCGAATGGCATGACATTGGCATCTATGACTTGCCAGCCATGATGGACTACGTCCTATATCATACGGGCGAGGATCAACTGCAATATGTCGGCCACTCGCAGGGCACAACTTCGTTCTTTGTCTTGAACTCGATGATCAAGAGATTCAGAAGTCGCATTCGTTCGGCACATTTGCTGGCACCAGTTGCCTGGATGGGTCACATGGAAAGCCCGCTTGCCAAGGTGGCAGGACCACTGTTTGGACAGCCCAACACTCTTATCGAGCTATTCGGTAGCGCAGAGTTCATGCCAAACACTAGGGCCATGGAGCTGATGGGCTCACTACTATGCCGTGATGCTGCAATTTCCCAAGTGATATGCACCAATGTGCTCTTCCTGATGGGAGGCTGGAACTCGCCGTATTTGAATGCGTCAATGATTCCAGATATTATGGCAACAACACCGGCTGGCTGCTCAATCAATCAAATGTTCCACTATCTGCAGGAATACAATTCTGGACATTTCCGTCAGTTCGACTATGGCTCGACTAGAAACAAGAAGGAATATGGTAGCAAAACACCGCCAGATTACGATGTCGCTGGCATTGATGTACCCATCTATCTGTACTACAGTGATAACGATTACTTCGCCAGTCTCATAGATGTGGACAAGCTACGGATGACCTTGGATGAAAAGACCCTGAAACGTGCATATCGATTGCCCGAAGTGAAATGGAATCATTTGGACTTCCTTTGGGGCTTGAACATCAAGGAAATACTTTATGACAGAGTTCTTGAAGATATTCAAAATGCGTAATACGCAATAATAAAGACCTTAATTACCGAAAAGCATTATATTATATGCATTTTTTGTTTCATCTATCCATCTATTCCCCTATGAATGCTAATAAATATACAGGCTAGATGATTTCCCAGGTACAGATATAGATACAGATAGAGTTTACACACATAAGCTTATGAAATACTTTTTGTGATTTCTTGTGGGAACATCACGCGATATCGACATACTTGTATATGGTATATGTATATACATATTTTAATTCTAAACCTTTATCAATATTTTATGACTTGAAAAATATTTACCGTTATATTTCATTTCCTATTGATTGTAAATATATTGTACCTCTTAAATGATAACAATAGAAGGCAAGCACCATTTATGACATACCGGGGGGGGTCAAGATATCTGATTTGATGCAAAAACATAAAGGCTCGGCAATTTAGTAGCTAATCTAATCTACCTTATGACGAAGTAATATATACGGTGTACCGATATTGTCTTCGTTTATTATTAAATAATTA